ACAAAGCTGCAATTTGTAGACAGGTTAAGTAAATTAAATCACTCACTGTCTTTTTTTTTTTTCCAATGGCTTTAAAAGTTAAAGGTAATTTGCAAAGAAAATGCTCAGTTTGAATTGGTTTGTAATATCTGTTAATGATCTTTAAAAAAATCCACTTATTCACAATTCTGTCCCTGAGGGAATTCCAGCGTGCTATCAGAAAAAATTTCTAAAGTCTGAAATGTCATTAACTAGTGATTTCTTTGAAGTAAAAAGCCCCCAAAAAAAGAAATTATAGAAGGTATACAAGTGCACAGGACAATCACTTTGATGAGTAATATCTGTATTTTTCTTAATGTTTCATACCTAAAAATGCAACAATTGAAATCCAAGCTGCTAAATTATAGAGCTATCTTTTGAATTACCTCAGTGCAGGCATACCTTCTGTTTATTTCACACATATATTGAGTTCTTCCCTATATTTATAGATTGTTGATGTAAAAACAGTAGTGTTAGGAACAATTTTGATTATATTCATTGTATTTACCTTTTGGAAACACAAGGTGTTGCCTAAATACAGGCTACAGCTGCTGCCATGGAGGGTGAAACAATGGCCCGGCTCAGAACAGCATCCCAGAGCTGGGTGCCAGGGCGGAGGTGCAAACGCCAGGCCCAGGCAGTGTGGAAAGGGGCTTGGTGTTAGATAACAAGAGCTGAGAAACGTGACACCAAAGGGAAAATTTTCTTCCTGACCCCAGCTGGCCATGGGCTTTTGCTTGGAAGCAGAGGAGTCTTTGTAACATAATCCTGGCCAGGGTAACTGCGGATTGCTGCTTTGGCTGCCATAAATAGCGCTCTCTCTCTCTCTCTCTCTCTCTCTCTCTCTCTCTCTCTTTCTCTCTCTCTTTCTCTCTCTCTCTCTCTCTGGAGGGAGGAGTTGGATTTTACTAACCACTGGCTACAGGTTAATTATACATTTCATAAGAAAGCATTTTCTTGTAGCCAGGCTAAATTTGTTACCTTTTAATTCCATTTTGTGTAATAAGACTGGAAATACTTGAGCTTCCAGCAGCTTCTCTATTATGCCATTATTTTCTACATTGGGCTGTTGGCACTCTGTCTGTCTACCCCCTTTTTCTCCTCAGGAATTGCTCACATTGTAGCTCAGCTGTAGAGATTTTATGCAGTTTTATTCTTTCTTTCTTTCCCGTGGGGCAGTGCCCTTGTCCACCTAGCTCAGCTGGAATAAAATCGTGCACTTTGTTCTTCCCGCTTTGTGTTCTTAACTGATATCAGGGAGTGCCTGGCAGACAGGTCAGAACAAACTTGGTTATCCCAGTAATGATTGATTGGCTTTAATAAAGATGTTCTGGTGGGGCTTGGGGGACTGAGTTAGAGTGTTCCCCAGGGGTTCCTGGGCAAGAAGTTTGGTCTTCAATGTTGGGAGATGGCGGGACCTTTAAGAGGTGATCAGGTCTGGGTCACTGGGGGTGGTGTTCTCAGAAGGGATTTGTGGGAGCCTGTTGGCTCCTTTGAGGGTTGTTAGGAAACATCAAGCTCTGGCTGTCTTGTCTCTCTGTGTCATTTACCACTTTGGTATGATTGTCACCACTGTGCTTCCTTTCACCAGAGTGGGGCCAATGACAGTCTGTGTTCTCAAAGCTGCATAGCTGTGAGCTCAGTACACCTCTTTTCCTTATACCCAGCCACAGGTGTTTTGTGCTAGTCATGGAAAATTAACTAATACACAGTTTGTAAAATTTTCTATGTTCCTCTAGTTATTTAGTCAAAGAAAATGCAAACCAACATTTGAAACATTTTCACCAGACCTTCGCTGGGATTCCACCTCTAAAAGATGAGAGGAGCAGAACCAGGTGACTGAAAGCTTTGATTTGGAGCGATACAGCCTAGACCACTCCACCTTTAGGACAGGACAGTGCACACAGCCAATGTTCCCACTGCCCCACAACAGATTTCCACCTTCCTGCCCAAAGACAGCCACTGTCCTGACTACTGACACCATAGATTGGTTCAGTTTTGTTTTTGATTGGTTTTGCTTTTAAAAAAAAGCTTCATGTAAATGGAATCATTCAGTAATTATTCTTAAATGAAAAAATTTTTTGTTGTTGTGGTAAGAACACTTACATGGATAGGTGTTCTTTTGTGTTTGGCTTCATTCTCAACATTGGATTGAGGAACCATATCTATGTTTTTGGGTGTAATTATAGTATATTAACTCAAGTTTAGGCATTATATCCATCGTATGCCACGTATACCATGAAGCATCCATTGTGCACTTGATAAACATTTGAGCTTTGGCTATTTCAGAGAATGTGGATATCAGCTGTATACTTTCTTGTGCATATCTTGTGTGTGTGTGTGTGTGTGTGTGTGTGTATGCTGTTTAGTCTTTCTATAAACTAGACGGGAAATAACTAACTGTGGTGGATTAATTAATGGTCAGCTTGGAACGCCCAGCTGAACTGAATCAGTGTGGTTGTGGGCGTGGAAGATCCACCTGAGGATTATTGCCAAAATGACACAAAAGGAGACCAGGAGGGGAAAGTTGAATGTTTTAGTCTTTCTGGAGAAGCTTGCCATGGCTGGCTTTCCTATTCTTGTTGGAGGAGAAGCTCTGGTCTTCACTTGAGCGTCCCTTCCTGGGTCCAGTGTAGAACCCTACGAACTCAGCTGTTCTCATCATCGGAGGGCCTCAGGTCCTTGCTGTTCCTGGGAATAGCTGCTGTTCTCTTCCAGGGTGCTCCAGTCTTCCTTCACCTTGAGGGTCTTTCCCTGGCTCCAGGGAAGACCCCTCAGCCTGGTGGCACAGATCCTTCCCCCTGCTGGGATAGACTTTCTAGCTTCCACTACTGGCCTTTGGGCCTTCCCAGGGAAGATCCTTGAAATGGACTTGCATAATTCGTTGCGATGGGCTCTAGGCCTTTGGCTGGGCTCGTGAGGAACATTGCAGTGGGATCCAGGCCCTCAACTGATTCTTTGGCTCTCTAGCACACAGACAGATCTCTTGCACTCCTCTGGATTTGATGTTTTGGGTAAATATTATAAAATAATCATATAAACTATGTGTCCTGTATTAAATCTATTCCCTTGTAAATCCCAACTACAACACTAACTCTAGGGCATGACCATACTCAACTTTAATAGATAATGCCAAATAGTTTACCAAAGTGATTGTTGGCCACAACAGCATTGATGCAGAGTTGCAGCCACTCTACAACCTTGTTAATACTTGGAAGTTCTTAGTTGCTGATTCTGGGCATTCTGCTGATATATAGCACAGTGTCTTTACAGTTTTAATTTCACTTCCTGGATTGTTAATAAATTAAGCATCTTTTTTAGGTATATTGGCCATTTGGATGTTCTCCTTTATTAATGCTTTTCTTCAAGTCTCTTGCTCTTTTTATACTGGATTGCCATCTTTTTGACTGATTTGTAGGAGTTATTTATATATTTGATATGAACTTTTTGTTATATGTGTTGCAAATATTACTGTCATTCTGAGCTTGACTTCTCACTATTTTATGGTGTCTGTGGAGGACTAGAGAATTTTATTTTTAAGATAATGAGTTTTATCAGTATTTTCCTCTGTAGTTAATGTTTTCTATGCTCTTTAAGAGAGCTTTGTTTACCCTGCAGCCATGGAAGTATCCTTTTATAGTCTAACGGCCTTGTTGTTTCACCTTCTATATTAGATTTATGATGGACACGGCATTGATCTCTTTCCCTCCCTCTTATCTCCCCATTTCTCTCACTTCCTTTCTTCCCTACTTCCTTCCTTTTATTTTTGTGGTGGAAATTGAAGCCAAAGGTATTTCTTATCCTACCAATGAGCTGTACTGCAGCCCATTGCAAAGATTTTTGTGTATGGTGTGAGGATGGGATCAAATTTATTTTCTTCTATTGCTGCTATCCACTGACCTTGCACCATGCATGGAAAAGACTTCCTTTCTTCAATGCTCTGCAGTGACACTTTGATCATAAATTAAGTACCTACTAATTTACGGAAACATCACAATGGCTTTTCCCCTTTGTTCTGTTAGTGTTGTGAATTTTTCTTGTCTTTTTCTTCTTTCTGTCCTGGAACCCAAGGCCTCACTCATGTGAGGCAAATGTTCCACCACTGAGCTTCAGCCCTAACCCTCAAAGCGGTTTTTTTTTTTTTTTGGGGGTAGCAGGGATGAAACGCAGGCCCTTGTGCTTGTGAGGCAGGCGGCAGAACCACTGAGTTAAATTCCCAGCCCAAAGGGTTTTTGAATGTTAAAACAGTCTTTTATTTTGGACTAAATCCTACATAGTTGTGTGAAGTATTATATTTTATGCATGTTGCTGCATGCATTTTATTCATATTTCTAAAAAGTAATTCTATAGCAATGTTTATGAATTGAATTGTAACTATAACTTTCTTTTATTATGAAAGAACTCATCAGTTGTATTTTCAAGTTCTGCTAGCTCATGAGACATTCTCTTTGTCTCCTCTTTATCTCTCCATTTATTTTTCAGTGCCAAGATAGAAGCACTTTCCTGTGAGAAGTATCCTTTTAACACACACACACACACACACACACACGCACATGCACACGCACGAGTGCGCACATTTTCCCAGTGATGGGGACTATTGAATTCAGGGCCTCATGCCTGCTAGGCAAATGCTCTGCCACTGAGCTATACTGCCAGGCCTTTTAAGGACATTTTATTTTGAGACAGGATCTTCCTAAGGTGCCCAGGCTGGTTTTGAATTTAGGATCCACTTGCTTTAGCCTCCTGAGTAGCTGAGATTATAGGTATATGCCACTAGGCTTAACTTCCTTCTTTATACAGTGGTACCTCAGTTCATGAACTTAATTCTTTCCATGATTCTGATTGTAAACTGAATTGGATGAGAACCAAATCAAATTCAATGGTTAGGTTTGATGTCGACCTTATGGGGAAATTTAATTTGGTTCTCGTGCAATTTGGTTTGCAATCAGAATCATGGAAAGAATGGTTTGTGAACCGAGGCACCACTGTATTCTCTTAAAAGTTAAAATGTAAATAAATAAGTATAATTTAATATAGTAATTAAATATGCACATAGCATGTCTGAGTAAGTGTTTACCAGTGTCCTTCCCTTTCAGGCCCCTGCATTTTAACATAGACTTGCCAGAGGAAGCTGGCTCATGTGCATTTTGTGAAGGAAAGTGAGCAGCATGGGGTTGTCCACTGGAGACTCCATATGGCACACTGCAGTATGCTCCTGTGTCCAAGGCTGAAACTTAGAACCATATCTCAGTTCTGGATCTGGCATCCAGGCCCATCTTGATCCTGGGTTTAGGAGACAGCCTATAGCATGCAGCTCCCTTTGAGACATGTGACAAGCATGTGGATAAAGACCCAGAGTCTTCAAAGCTAATTTCACCTCTGACATCTGACCTCTTCAGTCAATATCCCTCAGTACTGGGTATCTCATAGGTCCCTGTTCCTCCTTCCCTGTGTCCTATTGTCCTAGTTCAGACCCCACCTCTGTCACTCATTGCCGGGACCACAGAACCAGTGGGATCCTAGCCTTCAACTCTTCCTCTTCCCCACCATTCCCACACTCACTCTAAATGGGAAGCTGATAGTTTGCCCCTTGCTGAAAATTGTGCAGTGGTTTTACGTTGCTCTACAAGATGATTCGATTCAGCATCTGTCCTTCCAGGGTATTTCAGTCTGCTTAGGTAGCATCACACAATACCTTGGACTAGATGATTTACAATCAGTAAAAATTTACTGTGCATGGTTCTGAAGGTGGTGAAGTCCAGGATCTGGCTCCTGAAAGACTGCATGACTGGTAAGGACTTTATCAATGGTGCCTTCCTGCTGCATCCTTGAGTGGTGGAAAAGGAAAGAGCTGCCCAGCCTGTCTCAGGAGGACTCTCATCTCCTTCCTGTGATTCAGTTTTGGCCTAAAGGCCCTGTCACTTACTGCCACCACCCTGGGGATGAAGCTTCACTGTGTGCATTTGCGGAGGACACCAGCACTGAGACCGCAGCCCCTGGCTCTGGCTTCCTGTCCAGCTTGCTTTCATGACTGCTCTGGTCTGTGACTGCTGTCTCCTGCTCTTTCTACAAGATCTGTCCATGCACACCTTGGGTTCTGTGTGTCCTAGCTTCTGCTTTGCTGGCTTTTCTCCCTGGAATAGAGTATCCATATCTTCTTCCCCAACAATTCGTTCTCCTACAATCAGCCCAGGCTAGGTACCCTCGACCCCACCCTGCTGAGGCTGAATGGCTCTCCTTTCTGCCCCAGCTCTGTCTATGTGGTTAGACAGGGAGCTCTTGGAAGGCAGAGTCTGGTACCTGGAACTTGCAGGTAGCAGGTGCTCAATAAACATATCTGGATCCAAGCAGCCAGAACAACAGGGACTTGCTGACCACTTTGATTTTCATTTGATCTTTTTTGGAAGTCTGATGGAAGAAAATGGCCATAATGTCTGGATCAGAAGTGAGCAGGAAAGCAAAGACTCTGGGTAACCTGTCAATACAAACTCATCCCAGACAGCTGATTCTAGTCCTCTGAGATGGAATCTGCTTTTTATACACTGGATTAGGAACAGATCTTCTGTGAAGGTAGCTTTCTCCAGAGAAACAAATTTAAGGAATTTAAGAATTTAAATGAAAAAAAATCCTGCTTAAAAGGCAAATCAACCAAGATCCTTTTCCTTTTTCTTATTAATAAAAGAATTTACACAGAGGCTCTTCACGAGGTTTGCGAGGGATTCACGAGGATCATTAAAGTCTCTACTAGAGATTTCCTTTCTTTGTCAAATTGTCTGTACCCTACAAAGGGATCACAGAAAAATGGATGTTCTGGGCTCTCCTATATGAATGGGTCTTGCTGCACAGTGGGGCCATTCATTTTATTTGGCCCATTTATTGCAAGTACATTCTAAATTTGGTCTTAATTATTTTTCCTTTCACAAAAATATTTTGTGGGATCTTTTTGAACCCTGACTACTTCCTTCTTGCCCCTTACAACAGAAGCCAGGAGTGTTATTTTTGTTCTCTTCTAATTAAAATAATTGCTTGGTTCCTTTTAACTAGACTCATGCAGTTATTAGCCTAATATGTGGAAGGGTGCCATGGGGTGCTCGAGAAACGAAATGAAAAGTGATCATGTAGCTTCACATGAAAAAGACGTGGCTGTGCCAACAGCATTATGTCCCTTCCACTGCCGATTTCTAAGGGCCTTGCGTAAACCTGGCTCCTGTATCCGTGGTAAAAGCCTGAGAATTAAAAGGAGAGTTCCATGCTCTTTAGTAAGGTATTGAGCTGGCTCTGCACAGTCTGAAGAGGGCACTTGATGTACTGGGCATGGTACAAACTTGGGTCTGCCTGCCATCTCTTCCCCCTTTCTCATTCAGAATCACTGCCATTCAAAGACAGATCCCCCTTGTTTCCTCTGCCAGGGACAGCAGAGGAAGAGGGATAAAGTGCCTGGATATGTGCATTCATCGAGTGTCCTGAAGATGCTCCTTCTGACTGGAAGAGCTGAAGAGACAAGACTTTTCACTAAGTGATATTTTTGATGCAGTCTAAGGGTTAGTAGACAACCTGACTTGTTGCCTGTTTTTACACATAAAGTTTTATTGGAACACAGACATGCCCATTTATTAGTGTATTTTCTCTGACTGCTTGGGTATTAAAAGTGATTGTGTCAGGGACCTTATAGTCTAGAAAGCTTAGAATATTTACTGTCTGAGCAGACAAAGTTCAGACTCCTATGGCCTTCATTCTGTTCCCTGCACATCCACTCAGTACCTACTCTGGGCTGAGAAATGTTCAGGGTGTTGTTTGTTTGTTTGTTTTGGGTGTTGGTATTGGAACCCAAGGCCTTGTGCATGCTAAGCACAGGACTGAAGGAGCCACTGGGCTCCAGCCTCAGGCACCTGGATGAACTTTATAGTGATGCTCATTTGAAAACATGCTCAGGGTCTGATTCAGTGAGTGTTAAGGGGAGGTGTGTGGAAGGCAGAAAGCCAGAGAATTTGGGGCCAGATGCGATGTGGAGAGGGTGGGTTGTGCTGTGCTTATCCCAGAGGCAGTTGAGGGCTGTGTTAGTGAGCTTTCTGTCTCTGATGAAATCCCTGAGTTGATCAACTTACAAGGAGGAAAGGCTTTTTTGGGTGCATGACTTCAGAGGTTTTGGTCCGAGGAGGTGTGGTCCTGTTGCTTTGGGCCTGTGGTGAGGCAGCAGTAGGTCACTGTGTGGTAGAGCTCACATCATGGGGAGGAGAGAGTCAGAGTCCTCACATCCCCTCAAGGGCACATCCCCAGAAACCTCACTTACTCCCAGCCTTTGAGACATGGCCTTTGGGGGACACTGAAGACCTGAACCGTGTACTAATCATGGCTGCTCCTGGGGGACATTGGAGAGTGGAACCATCCATGTGTCATGGCTGCTCTCTCTCTGCTGGAGCAGGAGCTGTGCACGTGGCAGGGACTTCTGGCTTGGGGTGCGTTATTAGTTTATCAATACTCCATAATCAATGATGTGGACTTCTGCTTCCAGCCAAAAGGTGGGTATGCTTTGCCACCTGCTGTACCTGGGAGGATCACGTGACAGAATGTGAGCCCCTCTAGTTTCTAAGTCATAAGCTATTGTAATTGTGGTATAGACATTATATATAAAAATGTTAGTATAAATGTCATTGCCCCTATTTGACAAGTGAGGAAATGAGAAGTAGCATGCCCAGGGTCAAATAGCAGGCTAGCAGAATCACTGAGAGTTACATCTTCAGGCTTTAAGTCACTGCTCTTTCCAATATAGCCTTCTCTTCATCTTCCTCCCTTCCTCATCCTTCCTCCCTCTTTATCTTCCACCTTTTTTTCCTCCTCTTTCTCCTTCTCCGTCTTCTTCCTCTTCTTCTTCTTTTCCTCCTCCTCCTTTTCCTTCTTCTATCAGTATTGGGGATTGAACCTTTCTTTACATCTTGAGTCTTTCTATGGATTCAGAAATGTCCAGGCCTGATCTGGGGTGAGGCTCAGTGGTAGAGTGCTTGCCTGGCATGCACAATGGCCTATATTTGATTCTCATCACTGACTGCAGAATTCATTCTCAGGTCAACATTATTTAAGAACCAGGTATGAACAGGATAAACTAATGTTTTTAGGAGAGTGATGCTTGCATAGAGCAGAGTTGGAAGACTCTTCAGATCACTTTGTTCTTGGACTTCTGTGGCTGGAATCCTCTGGAAGTACAGAGGTTCTTCCCGATTTCCCTGTGCTGTCCTGGCATTGGCTCTTATCTGAAATTGGTAGTAAGAAGAAGTTTGGGAGATGGGAGGAGGGGAGCAGTCCTGCCTGCTGGGTTTGGGTCAGAACTGTCCCCCTAAGGCCATATGGCAATAGCTGGTCCTCAGCATGGGCTATTAGGAGGTGGTGGAAACTAAAAGGTGGGGCCTCATGGGCCTCACTGCTTCCAGTCCTTGGAGGCAAGCATTTGATGGGGGAAATTAGGACCCAACTTTGTCCTCTCTCCTTTATCCCAGGCACAAAATGAAAAGACTTCTGTGCCATATGCCCCCACCATGATGTGCTGCTTCTGCACAGGCACAGAAACAATAGGACAAACCAGTTATGGACTGAAACCTCCAACACTGCATTAAACCGGACCTTTCTTCTTTTTAAGTTAATTTTCTCAGGTATTTTGCTACAGTTATGCACAGCTGACTAATATACCACAATGCTACAAATGTTCCCAGACACTATATTTTATGTTGTATGAGTGTGTTTGCACCATGAGAGGAAATAAAAAGAGTGGTGCTGAAGTATGGGAAGCAGATTGCACAAGCATAGAGACAACCTGGGCTTGGGACATTTGAAAGTTAAGATTTTGTGAAAGTCCAAGGGAATCCATATTAGAAAATGATCTGATATGAGTTGTGCAGATAAAGAGCATCTGTTGAATAAGGTGTGCCGGTAGTGGACTCCTTTCATCATGCAGTTAGTTACAGTCTTCAGTCAGATCATGCTCATTCAATGATATGTCTTGTAATTTTTGAGTTGATGATGTCAAATGTGCCTGGAGGAAGCAGTTTCCACCAGAGCACTGACTCTGTCTTGTCATTGGTAAGAGATGTGTGAAAATTTCTGTTTTTGATATATGCCCTTTGAACGCCCAGTATGAGGACAGATAGACAAATATAGCAAATGGTTAAATTAAAAAAAAATTACTACAGTAAAAAACATTGCCAAGGGCCAGGGATTTAGCTCAGTGGTTTCACTGTCTGCTGCGCAAGTGCAAGGACCCGAGTTCGATCCCCGGTACCAAAAAAACCCAAACAAAACATTGCCAACAATAATGTGATAAATGAAGTGAGCAGTATTTTGAGGGGTGATTAATAGCAATGTATCTTTTATTGTAATACATTTTTAAATTTAAACATTCACCATTTTTTGAATATACCTCATTGATCAAATGCTTATGGCAATTTCTATCAAGTAAAAACATGGCAATATGTCCTCATCTACCTTATTCACCAGATCTGGCACTGTGTGATTTCTGGCTCTTACCCAAAGTCAAAATGACCATGAAAGGTAAATGTTTTGAACCAATTCAGGACATTGAAGCAGCCAGGACAGCACAAAGGACACTCAGGAAAGAGAACTTCCAGAACTGCTTTAGAAAGTGGCAATAATGATGAGATTAAGTGTGTCCAAAGCCAGGGGGAGAATTCTGAGGGAGATTATTGGCAATATATCTTTTACTGTAATAATTAAAAAAACTACACATTTACTGTATTTTTGATCATACGTCTTTATTTAATGTAATCACCTACTTGTTTTTTTCAGATTTATCTCAAAATCCCAGTCACATTACTTCCTGAGAACAAAAGGTCTGCTGAAGTTGCCTGATGAAAAGTCCAGCCTTCCAGAATCTTCCATTCTACAAGTGCTACCTACAGTGACTCTGAGAGGTATAGTTGGACGTTTTGTCCTGTTTTCTACTTATTGCTGACCCTGTGGACAAATCTGGAGGTGATGATGTCCTATTCTGCCTTTTGCCCATGAAGCCATGCTTCTTCCCAGGGAGCCCCAGCCCCCAGCAGACTGTTTTAGGAAATGTAATTTGGTCAGCACACAGAAAGGATATTCACAGCAGGACTCAGTGCTATTGCAGATGATGTATTTCATCTGAAAGGAACTTGTGCTCATTATTTAATTTACTTAACTTTCTTGTAGCAGAGTGTGTTTTCTCCATTTGGTGTGCAATACGTTTCTTTTTCTACTTCTATTCACTTAGCAGGTATTCTACTGAAAAACTATCACTGTGTTGGAAATGTTTTTAGAGGGGAAATAAATCTTCAACACAGTGTAAAATCCCCTGCAATACATGGCCATTTCTCTGGTGTGTAGACTTTCTGTTCATGATTGAGCATTATTCTGGGAGAAAGCTAAATCGCTTTGAAAGCTGTAGGCACTGCTGCTCTCTTGCAGCTACTGGTATTACTATGACCACCACCATGGGCAGTGCTCCTAATGGTTGACAGATGTTGCTTCGGGTTCCCCAAAAGTGGAGCTAAGGGGAAGTCTCCTGTACTGCTTTCTCTGTGGGGAGTTTAGCCGCAGAGCAGGAGGAGTGTAGAACAGGGAGCTGAAGGCTGTGGCTGAAAGGACAGGAGCAGGGACGAGGGTGAGCCATTGATGCCCCCACCTCCTAAAGGTTTCATCCCCTCCCAGGGCACCAGCCATGGGATAAAGCCTTCAATACATGGATCTTTGGAAGACATTAAGGATCTTATCCACAGATTTAAAGGCTAGACCACTGGAGATCATGATGTGCTAAATACTGGCTTTATAGAAAAATCTACATTCAGTGACCAATTTTGGGGTGATTTGTTACAGCAGCTGTAGGGAACCAATGCAGACACAAGAGCACAAACTTTGAGCACTTGAGTTGGGAGAGGGGTGAAGAAAAAGGAATTCATCTGCCAGTTCCAACCTTTGGGGGCAAGTGGTTTTCCTTGGAGGAAATGAATATTCGTCCATTTCATCTTCTTCTTTCTAGATGGGAATGATGAAAACCTGGGGATGGGGAGCCAGACCTTGCCTGGTGGATGGGCGGTAGTCTGTGAACTCTATTGTGGGGTGCTGGGTTACAGGAAGTGGCCTTGAGCAATGTGGCCAAGTTGGGACTTAGAAGGCAGCATGTGAGGGGCCTGAATTCTGGACAGTGACCTCTTCAGTCTTCACCAGAACTGCACAGATATCCTTGCCAAGCTTGCTTACCAGCTGTGGACGTGCTCGATTCTGGAGCTCATGCCCCTCCAGGCCATGGCCCATCTCCATGTGGAGCTGAAGATCCTTCCTCCTGGAGCCCTCTTCTTGGTGTTTGTCTTACTTCACATCCAATGGAGCTCATTCTTAGACATGAAAGCCCAAGACAACATATCTGAAGACAGTCTTTTCTTACCAAGCATAAAAACTCCATTTCTTCACCTTGGCTTGGTGGAGGAGTTTCTGTGGCTGTGGCCACCCTAGCCCCCTCTGGACAAGCTGACCTCTCTCCAGCTTCGTAGGGCAGTGTGCACAACACACCAGAAGTTCAGGAACAGTCTGCTCCAGCACATGAGACCCTCACTCCACCAATGCAACCAGAAGTTGATTTAATCTGATTTAAATTTTTGGCAAGCACATCATTTCTAATTGTACTACACTTACCATTGGTTAAAATGCTTTCTTTTATATTGATGATTGTATGGAAGCACATGGTCTTAAAGTCACCCAGACAGCCCAAGAGAATGAATCTGTTTACAAATAGTATCACTGCAGGCTGGACATGAAAATGAGACCCCCATCAAGACGCACTAATACCTGTAATTTATGGGGATTCAAGGTCACCAGTGGCTCCCACAGGCTGGTGACAATGAACTTCGCTCTGAGGGGGGGGGGCATATCCTCAGCCAGCTCCTCCCACTGCAATCTCCTTCCACTCCATGAGTCAAATCTGCCCAGCTGTGATGTACCTCTTTGTGTCTTTGCAAGCTGTTCCTGCCATGGAAAGGTGAGGTGGCCAGGCCCTGGGTATCACCCCTTTCCTCCCCACAGTACCCCTGCAAGCAGTCAGTCTTGTGCTCTTTTCACAGATCTGGAAGTAGAAGCTCAGTTCAGAGTTGTCTTCCCAGGGTCATAGAATAGCTGACCCTGGGTTTGGACTCAGGTGGGTCACATTTGGTTGTTCCAGGTTGGGTCCCTCAGCAACCTGTCACTGGTGAGGAGACAGTGGGCCCTTGGTGTCACCATGCCAGAGCTCCATGGCCAGGAATCAGTGTGGGGCCTTCCCCTGCACAGGGGTGGCCAGTGCCATGTCCAGCTCTGTCGCTTTGCCTGGGTGAACTGGACATTGAACAGCTTTGCTCTTTGCATTTGGTTCCAGAAGAGAACACTTGCTCCAGTTCTTACTCCTTACACATCCTCAGCTGTTTCTCATTATAATCCCAGAGCCAGTTGCATGCCCCTCAGTGCCCCTGGTACTTCCAAAAATGGGTGAGTGTGCTACAGGGCTGAAACCCCCAGGGGGAGCCTCCTCATCAGTTCTGATGCTCACCCCTGGATTGGAGGTGGCCACACAGCCCATCCTGCTTCAGCCCCACCCAGAAAGGGATGCTGGGTGACAGCTGGCTTCACGCTGCTGCTCGGTGGTGATGTCTTGTGAAGATCCCTTCCCTGTGCTCATTACACTGTAGTCGTACTGCAGGGGACAGAGGTGAACGCTGTGTATTTATCTGATTAAGGTGCCCGTTGTTTCAAATCTATTTTCACAGAGACTTTCTCCCTCTGGTAGACATTCAACTACATAACACATTAAAAATTATATCTGCATTTGTGACTTCCTCTCTTGTGTTGATGTGGCCCCATGTATGTGTGCACATGTGTGTGCTAACTTCTGTCCCTTGTAGGATCAATATGTACTCCACAATTATGAAACCAATGCCATCTTTTAAAAAGCAAGGTTGATATACACCCAGTAAAAAATAAACTAACCTGGCCCAGTTACATAGAATACCGGTTACACAAATTACATGACAACCAGAAAGCACAGTGACTCACTTTTTTTTATCCCATGTCCTTCCCCCTGAGAGACAGACTCTCGTTTCTGTGAGCATTTGGGCAACTGCACTTCTGGACCAGCCCTGTCCAGTTCTGGCTTTTGAGTGGGACTTCAAGTATCTCCCTCCTTCTGGCTACCATTATGAGAGCCCTCATTAATCTTTGAGTTCTTTGTTCCCCACTTTGGTAAAAGAATAACGCCACCCCCAGAATTATGCAAAAATCAGTGGTAAAGTTAATTGGAATCTGAATCTCTTAATGTTTTCCTCTTTCTTCAATGACTGTTTGTTTCTGAAAAGTGAGGCTCAACTCAGAAGAAGATTATAATTGGGTGAGTGAACTGGTCCTTGAGAGAAAGTGGGTAGAGATTGTCTTCCAAACAACACAAGATAGTGTTTACACTTAGGGTTTCTGTGCAAGTTTTACCCTGCAGCTTCTGGGGTGACAGCAGGTGAGAAGGATATGACCAGGGTATCTCCATGCACATCCTGAAGACCTTGGAAGGGGAAGGACCTGGCTCCTTCCTCCCAGGGGACTGAGAGGCAGGAAGGAAGAGAAGAAAGGATAGAGGAGGTGCTGATGGCCAGAAAGTGGCCAGCTTCTTATTTTAATTATGGGACAAATCCCCAACTCTGGTGAATGAGCTATTCACCTCCTACCTACTTGGGTCCTCCATGTAGCTTCATAGTACCAAAGCATTTTATATTTATAGCAGCATGTAACATGCCGTGTAAGCAGTGTATAACATGCCATGCAAAGTGTTTCCCTGGATTCTCATGTCAACGTGTTGGGGGCAAACTGGAAAGATGCTTATCTCAACTTTATAGAGGAAGAAACCGAGGTCCCAGTGGCTTGTGGATTGTCCAAGGCAGCCAACCTGCAGGTAGAGGCAGGGGTAAGGTCTGCAGGCTCAGAGAGGAACAGAAAGGGTTGATAGGGGCAGAAACTTGTCTCAAAGGTAGCTGCTGATTGATGAGGTGAGCAAAGTTTATAGAAAACAACAGGGCAGAAGCAAGGGGCCCTGTGACACAGCCACAGTTCACAGCTGGCTCTCACCCTCCTTGGTGCCTGCAGCTCCCAAAATATTCAGACAAAGGACCCCAAAAGGCATCTGGTCAAGCTTTCCAAGAGAGAAAACTTATCCTCTGAGTCCTGGAGCCCTGAAGTCAGGGATTTGATTATGCTTATCATGATCCCAGCTTCCACTGCTCCAAATGTGATTAGTTTTGTAATTAGTTAATGTCATTACCTGTCATTAAATCCAGACAACGCTGGTCTCTAAAACCTCCCATGGCAGAAAATCCCATAACCTGACATCTTTCTGCTGTTGAACAGTTTCTTGAATAATCCTGGCAACTGTCCCCTCATTCTTAGACCAGTTCTTGAAGAATGGGGGAAAAGGTGTATTTCTTGTAGTTTTTAAAAGGCAGTTTAAAATGCTTTTCCTCACTCCAAGCAAAGCATAAATACAATCTTCTTGGCAAGTTTTCTATTCCATTCTATTTTCCTTATATATCTTGGCTGTATTGCTTTGGGCAGAATGGTCAAATTAGGAGCCAGTTTACCATAGCGAAACACTCCATCAAGAAATGTTTTTACCCTATAAAAATGCTGTTTGTCTCTCTTTATTCAGTTACTGTTGAATGCTAGGCAGGCAGCTTTCTTCCTAGTTCCTACTTAGTCCTTCAACAAATATTCTTCAAAAGCTGTTGTGCATGAGGACTTGTGATGCTCGAGGTTCGAGGGATGAGCCTGGATGAGTTCCGTCTTCCAGTGGCTTATGTTCTAGTAGGGGAAGAGAGACCATCAGAAATGAGTAAAGCACATGGTATAGAAAGTGGGCACTTTCATTGGACTCTGCAGGCAC